ATTTTGCCGCCGTCCTCACAGCGGGGTAAGTCGGCTGCGATACGTCGAATTCAGCTACGCTATTCACGTAGCTGAATTTGCGTATCTTAAATTGACTCCCCCCTGTAGTGTAGATGTACCCTAAGACTAGACACTTCGGCCTCTGTCATAGGCTTTTTTGTAAGTTTCTTGCACTGAGTGGCTTACTTTAAGTCAGAACTTTAAACCACTTTCATTTTTAAAAACTTCCATGTCTGCAGCCTTAGACCCATTCATGCAGATTAATGAAACTTGCTCTTCCCATTTTGAGATAGACAAGCTAAAGCGCCAATGAAATGGCAACCAAACCTTTGGCACCATAGGGTATAAGATTCTCATGGTAGCATACTTCTGCCTAAGGTGAAGCAACTGGAAAGAAACATTGCTGAATATATCCATTCCAGCTGACATCCTCTTAAGATTCTCCTTGCGACCATCACCTCCAACCAAAAAATACTAAAGCAATGAAACCTGGACCCACCCTTAGGCAACCTTGTTAGGCAATTTCCTGTCTTAAGAGACTGTCCTAAAGTATCCCCCCAAACATATTGGCCTAAATGTGTGAACCATAAACCTACATCTACTTACATTAGTATTGGATTTGTGATAGAACCCAACAACACAGAATACAACAAGCTTCCAAAATATAATTTGCATCCAGAATCCAGAAAAGCACTACTAAGAAATTGATATTATACACATAAATCAACTATTAGCAAGTCCCTAAAAGAACCATGGCACTTAAAAACCATACTTCTGCTTGAAATCTTTTAACCTACTGTTGTTACAAAACACACCTTAAAGTTTACTGTAACTGAAAGAGATGAGAGAGAGAAATATTTGCTTCTATTTTTCCAGTTGGTTTTCTTTCTATATTTCACAGCACTTTTCGTATATTCAGTTTCATAGTTTCCCCTGTGTAGTAAGTCAGCTTCCCATGTTTGTGCAACAACAGGGAAAGGGACAAATATTTTAAAAGCCCCCCGAAAAATGGTGATCAAAAAATAAACCCCACCAAAATTGGGTGGGGGATTCCAGGTGTGGTTCTTGAAACCAGGTTTAACTCATTTTCTTAAATCAACTTGATTTCAAATTGACTGTGTCCCATGAACACTGAGTTCTGCAAACACCCTACAGATCACTGGGTAGCAAATGTTAGGCTGTCTCTCTTACCTTTGGAGGCTTGAAGGGATATTCTGGTGTAAATGTGATATCAAGGAAGAAAACTCCACCCTCATATACTGAGCCTGGAGGTCCTAGAATAGTTGATCTCCATTCATAGATGTTATCGCCTTTGGGGCCAGCGCTGTGCAATAAAAAGGATACATACATTTAGGAGGTAAAGCTACGATTTGAATAAATATGATCCCATAGATTTAAAAAACAGTTTAATCTCAACAATGTGATATTTAATACACAATGTAGAGGTTAGGACTGTAATAAAAAGTAACGAAGCTTGGAAACAAGCAATCTACAGTCTTATACCGGGACATCTGTACCATTGTTAAGACTACGGGGCGCACACTGTATGGCAAGGGTCTGGAGAAGGAGGGGAAATGATTTTCTGGGTCTTTAAATCCCGTTCTGTTGATCTAGATGTTTAGAAGAAGTACCACCTTCCCCATTTGTCCTTGCAAACAAAAACAAAATGCACATCCCTTCAGGTAGCACCAGTTCAATGCAACAAGAAACATCGGTAGTTAAGTACTACACAACTTCAAAGAGGAAAATTTTATATTTTAGAAAGGGCTGCCCTAGTAAAGCTTTATTACAGGGTTCCCATAAGCTAAACCTCACAGACCATATTAAAATTGGAAACTTGCTTACTGGAACTTCACTAAACAAATAAGAGTGAAAAAAAGAGTATCCTTGTGTACTGATTTTCTTTTTAGTTTAATGTGCTCAAGAGGAGATATTATTTACATTTCCTACATTATTACTGAACAGTAGTAGTTCATTTGCTTTAATTGAGTGGATCAAAACTATATCATGGTGTTTTACAATGTCAAACTTATCCCCGCTTGGCCACAATACATTTTGTGCAAAATGGTTTCTAAAATGAAGCAACGATATGGGTTTTTCCTAATGTTGGGGCCCATTTTACAGAGCTGGTTTTTTGCAAATTCACATAAAATCAGGGTTAAATCTTGGATTTAACATTCCAGACACACCTCAAAGACCACCTTTTTCTCCTAGCACTGATATGGGTGGAGGGATAAATTAAAGGTCTTTTATTCATTATAATAATTATGGGGTATTAGTATTAGAGGTGGAAGGCATCGAATGCATTCAATATGGACATGATAATGTGAAGGGATCCAGAGTAATTGATGGGTGCTTAGTAGTAGTGTTATAAATAGAAATAAATAAATACAAATAATTTTAGATCACATCGTAAAGCTCCCACACCCAAGGATGATGGACTGCTTTCTGCTCTTTGTTCTGCTGTATGGGTAAGCAAAGGGAGGAGAAGGAAGTTTATATCGAATACCTCTATTATCTCATTTTTAGGTTCCAAATCCAATAAATGCCCATGGTACTTTGACGATTAATTTTAATAGCAAGACCCATACTAGAATATTTCTTTGCATGTCTCCCCACATCCTCCCCAATGTGTAAAGTTCTGAAAACTAGCACAAAAATTACATACCGTACATTGGTAAATATCTCTCTCATCCCAACCCAAAGCTTCACACAGCTTGTGAAATGAGGCTTCGAACAAAAACACTAATGTAAGATAAAAGCCATCGTACCCTAAAGACTCACGATATCCCTCTCCTCCCTAATTATTTCTCTTTGTCCCATACAGGTCTCTATATCTGGATGCTTAGCTCTACAGCTACTGGACGTGTAATGGGCTGTGACACAACTGTATTTCTACAAAAAGCCCTGCCTAGTGACAGGCACCAACTTAACTGTGCAAAGTTATTGAAAAGGACACTCTTGGGTGCCCTTAGCCACTACTCCAAGAAATTACCTCTTGGAGTGGTATTGAAACACTATCATTACTCCAAGTTGCACAAGCCAACCCCCTTAAGATGGAACTACTGCCTGGAACAGGTCCTTGCAATTTGTTAATACCAATTTACTGCTGGAATTTACAAAGTAAGAACTGTCAACTGGGAGTACTTCAACGGGGGTGGGGGCGGGAAAGGGGGAAGCAACATGATCAGCATACTGAAATACGGCCCTCTGGGCCTATGAGAAATATTTCAGTATTTTATTTTGCATTTCATTTCTAGTTTAAACCCAAAGAACTGTCAATACAAAAAAACCGCTCAATGACTTAAAATTATTATTCAATAAAAACCCGATGACTTCAAAAATATTATTCATAATAGTCTTAGAAATGACTTATGACCTATTAGGCTTCCAATTAGTTATTAATGCATGCAAGGTGCTTTCATTTCCACAGATGTAGTAGTATATTAATAGAGGTTTGGATTAAATATATATATCACATCTTTGTAAAACATTAGTAGACATTCCCCAATATTTTATTAAAAAGTGATGCATGTAGCTTACCTTTCAAGCCTTTCATTTCAATTAACAGTATGAAATAGCTGGAGGATTTCAATTTTTAAATAGCATAACTGATTTCTTATAAAGAAAAGATTGAAAGGGAGAGATGCAAGTCAGTTACAGAATGCAATATAATTTGGGTTTAAATTAGGATTAGGTACTATCAAGTGGCGCAATACCCAAGTGCTTATTAGAAAAGTGATGGTACTTGAATGTAGTTTAAGTGCAGTGGCATTAACTTCAGTGAAGATACAAAAAGAAGTCAAAGGTGAGGGATTACATTTTTTGCTTAAAATCCTTTGCAATTATCTGTTTAAAAAGAACACATCAATATGTAGATATATGGTGGATAGGCACAACTGATACCTCCTATAATCTGCGTCACTGCTATACTCAAGTGAAGTAACTATAACAGACAGATGCAACATTTAGCAGCTATCAAACACTTGGCCATTCTGAAGACAATTTAAAATAATATAAACTAATTCCACTACAAATAGCTACTACATACTGTATTAAATCCAAGAGCCAATAACCCTTTTTGGGGGAGAGTTTTGTGGAGGTTGGGGGTGTGTTAAAAGACTGAGGCCCAGATCAACAAAAGGATTTAGGTGCCTAACTGCTACATACGTCCAATATTCATGCATCACTGAGATCCTCAAAACCTCTGCTTGGCTGCTGCCTAACCCTGGAGGCATCTAAAATCCTGCGGTTAAATTTTCACTGTTAAAATCCTCCATGTGCCTAAATTTCTGCCACTGCCCTTATTCTAAGGGTTAATCAATTTATGGATGTCACTTAAAATGCCACCAACCACCTTAGGTCAACTTGACAGGATGGTGTGAGAAAAGAATTTCATTAGCCACAATTAATTTCAGTAGCCCATGAAAAACTAACACATATTTCAATTAGGACTATGAGGAATACAACCATTAACTCTCACAAATCCAGAGCCCTATTTTTGAATTGAATCTAAAGCAAATTGGCCAAGCTGTTTTGGAGTTACATGTCTCTGGAAAACAAAGACGAGAACAAAAATGCTTTAGAGACTACCCATTCCAGAGATCCAGATCAAACCTACATGCAAGCAAACAGCACAATGGAAGAATTTGGGTATTCCCAGGCAAAACCACCTCAGTCATTTCTGCTCTATTGCTGCTAAATTCGACAGTGATGGCAACAGTCTTAATTGAACACCAAACAAGTTGCAAACAGGAGCAGTAATTTTGAAGTGAAGATTTTTTTTTAACTTATTACATAAAATAAAATGGATTGGACTTTAAAAAGCCATGGTTTCTATGGCAGAATTGTGTTTTATTTTATTAAAACACAAAAATGCATCATGGTTTGACCATTTCGTTTTACGCAACTTACAGAACGGTCTCTAGTACAGTGATACAAATTTTCTGTTTCATATAATACTCAAACCATACAGACTAAAATAATATTTCTCTTCTCTACACTAATATCTATCTTTTTATTTTGTTTTACACTTTAAAACTAATAAGTTGTTTGGTTGTCACTATATTATGAAGCTACCTATTGTAAACAACTGAATAAAAAATGGAGTCCCGATGGTGATCATTAGTTACAGGTTCCAGAGTTCTTTATCTACTATGTTAAAAATATAAACAAACTTTTTCTTTTAAAAAAGATCCAAGAGCAAAATGCTTTGTAAACAGAGACTTAAGTTTGAGCGTTTAATATGAAAGTGTAATGAAACATTTGTTTCCAACATTGACCCTAAATTTCCCCCCTCATCCACTGCAATATATCTTCCATTGTAGAATGTTATAACTCTGCCGCACTCTGGTAGCCCTTATCAATATAGTGTCTGGGATAAATGGTGGGGGTTTCTAACCTAGATCATGAGAAGGAACTTAGGGGAAGCTAGTTAAGGACACAAGAAGTCCCTGACCAGTGGAGGATGAGGGGTTTGGGTTGCTCTACAATGACAGGTGTAGGTATTGGAGGAAAGGTGGGGTGCAGACTTAACATTGCTTTTGGAAGTTTAACAGAAAATGTAAACATGCAAAGTCAGGAAATTCTGTATTAAATATGTTTTCTGTTCTCGGGATTTTTTTTATTAAGGGGTTTTGCATTTCAAAAGTATTCCAAATACAGAAACATCAAAGTATAGCAAAAAAACTACAAAGCTTCCTTTAGCCATGATCTCTTGTTTTTAAAAATATATACAAGATCACAACCATAATTTTAGAAATAATTATTTCCTCCCACACACACTGTACCTGCTAGAAATGTATTCCCGCCCTCCCCACCTCCGTACAAAGTAGTTATTCTGAGTTACCAACAGAGCTACTCTTCAGGGCAGGGCAGGTCTATTTTTGCATACTCTACAGCATAAACAAGTAATAAATACTACTACTAATTGTGTAAATTGAAGAGTAAGGGCTGCAGACAGTTTCATCCCTGTTAGTCTGTCTCCCAGTTTAAATCATGCAGGACGGATAGGAAAAGATCCCTCTAACATATCTCGTACATGCCTAGTTGTCTACAAGAGTTTGAGTATGCATGTTCTGTATCTCTTAAGATTCCACAAGATTATTGTCAAAGGAAACTGTCTCAATAAGCACTGAAACATCACAAGGTACTGAGAAATGAATTTGAACAGCCAAGACAGAAGACACTAAGATGATGCCCCAAGTCATGCACATTTAATTACTATTTTCAGTAAAGCAGTTTAAACATCAGATAGAATTTTAACTCCGTCTCATTTTTAGGTCAAGGAAAGAAACCTAAACCAAAACAAACCAGAACAACAAA